CCCTCCCTCCCTCCCTCCCTCCCTCCCTCCCTCCCTCCCTCCCTCCCTCCCTCCCTTTCGTACAGCTCCTCCTCACTCCCCCGCTCTGCCAGCTACTTGCTCCTGTACACGCCTGCTCCTGATCTCTTGCTATGCTGGACGATTCTCTTTCTTCTCTTTCTCTGATCGATCCTCCTTCTTTCATACTCTCCTCTGGTTTTTCTCTTCTCACCCACATCCCCGATGAGGTCGTAAACTTGAGGCCGAAGTGGACGGGGACACTGACTGCGCACGAACGCCAAAAACTGACACGCACGAGAGGATAAGAACGAGGAGGAGCAAGAGGAGGAGCAAGAAGAAAAGAGGAGGAGCAACAGGACGAGGAGGAGGAGCAACAGGAGGAGGAGGAGGAGGAGATCCAAGAACATAAAGCACGATGAGGGAGAGCAGGAGTAGCAACAAGCTGGCGAGCGACGAGAATGAGGGAGGCTGCGAGCAGGGCAATGAAGAATAGGGGGTATTAAGGGCAGGCCAGAGCAGGAGAAAGGAAAGGGGGAGCAGGAAGAGAACACAGGAGAGGAGAGGAGAGGAGAGGAGAGGAGAAGAGAGGAGAGGAGAGGAGAGGAGAGGAGAGGAGAGGAGAGGAGAGGAGAGGAGAGGAGAGGAGAGGAGAGGAGAGGAGAGGAGAGGAGAGGAGAAGAGAGGAGAGCAGAGGAGAGGAGAGGAGAGGAGAGGAGGGGAGAGGAGAGGAGAGGAGAGGAGAGGAGAGGAGAGGAGGGGAGAGGAGGGGAGAAGAGAGGAGCAAGAGAGGAGTACAGCAATGGTTCAAACTTCTACCTTTTTGCACCACTCTCTCTCCTTGAAATCTTCCAGCTGCAACATACTGATGAACTGAGATCTCCCAGGTCAAATGCCTTTAGCCTCCTCCTCCTCCTCCTCCTCCAGCTCACCCCCATCGGTTCTCCTCCTCCGACCTTGAGAACAGAGCCGACATGATCGGCCTATCGTCCTTGTCACACAGAGCCTTCCCCGCCCCTGCTCTGTTCCGAACCCTTCCCCTCCGTCCTCCCTGCTCTCGCCCTTCCCTTCCCTCCCCTCCAGGTCTTCTTTCTTGCCCTCCTGCCCACCTCTCCTCTCCTCCCCTCTCCTCCGCTCCGCTCCGCTCCGCTCCGCTCCGCTCCCCTCCCATCGATCCATTCTTGTCTCCTCTTCTCCTCGTCTCACCTAGCCTCCTCTTCCTCCGCTCCTCCGCTCCTCCTCTCCTCCCCTGTCGATTTACCTGTCGAACGATATCGCATGCAAGAAGCCAGCTATCGAAGTGCAGTGGACCCATGTATCCCTACATCGCAATCATTTTTGCTTCACTTCCCCCTCTCCTTGTCTCCTTCCCGCAATGACAAACTTTCCTTCAGCCTTCCTCCTCCCCTTCCCCTCCCCTCAGAAGACACGGCCTGCTCCATCCTCCCCGCTCTTTCCCACACAGCTGCTTCCTCCTCTACCGTCGCTCCTCTCCGCTCTCCTCAGGACCTCCCGTCTCTCTCTGCGGCCAACAAACCTGGAGGAGAGAGGAGATGCTGTCACGGTCCGCCTTTACCTGTAGGCATTGAAAACCATATCAGGACGAGGACGAGGACGAGGACGAGGACGAGGACGAGGACGAGGACGAGGACGAGGACGAGAGAGCAAGAGATAGCGGAAGGAAGAGGGTGTGGAGAAGGAGGAGGAGGCAGAATCGAAGGAAGAGAGGAGAGGAAGACGGGAGGGAGACGAGGAGGTCACAGGATCGAACAACTCAAAGTCAAACTGCTGAATGCCATTCTGCCCTGCATCGTCGCAGTCATTTGCTTCCCCTCATTCCCCTCATTCCCCTCTCCCATAGCTCCTCCTGCTCCTGCTCCCTCTTCCCCTATCCCTTCTCCTCCACATATCCCTCCATTTCCCCTTCCTCCTCCACCCCCCCAGCCGCCATACCAGCATCATCGGCTGATTCGTCATCAGAGGCAACTTTGTGTGAGTTGTTGTACAGCAGTGCAACGTTCGTCCACATGCCTTCACTGCACAACAAACTGAAGGGTTAGAGAGCTCTGCAATGATACAAACAACCACACGCGCCCCAAAACAAAAGAATTCATGAAAGCTCGGAATTCCATGATGCTTTCAATTACACGTCAGTCAGTGCGCTGAGCAGACCTGTCTTGGGGTTGCGGGAATTGGAAAGAAGAATTGAATTGATTCTTGAGGCGAAACTCTTCGTCCACTGTGAACATGCGAGGTAAGATGGCATGGCAGGGGAGAGGGAGGAGGTGCTTAAAAAGCTGTCATTGCCCAAAGACGTAGGGCTAGACAGTAAGATTGGGGCCAGGAAAGCGAGGAGGCCAAGGAAGAGGGAGAGAAACAGGAGGGGGGGGGGGGGGGTTGGACGAAGTTGTATCACCTTTGATGGACCTTTCATCGAGCTTCTTGAGTATCTTGCCAGAGGACTCGAGATCGCTGGACGAAATGCTGTTCTCCTCCATGAAGGAGTAAATCTCATCAACCTGATCTTTCATCAGACCACCTCACCCGTCCAATCGATCTCAACCAGATCAGTCGGCACCGTCGCCTGAGAGTCGATCATCGGCTCGGAGCAGTTCTCATTCATGCTTGAGTTGGCAAGGGGCACCGCCAACTCCCACTCCTTGAAGCCCCTCTCACTGTCCTCCCTCCCTCTCCTCCTCTTGACAGTCTCATTCTGAGTCTCGTGAAGCACGTCAAGTTCGTGCATGCTCCTCTTCAGTGTCTCATCCTTGCTCCCTCCGCGCAGGGCAAGGTTCCCCCGCGCTATTCCAGGTCTCTTCGCTGCATGGAAGAGGGAGTTGGAGGCAGGCCTCGCAGAGGATAGTACGCAGAGCAACGCGTGAAGGAGAAGAATTTTTCGGCGAGAATAGAGCTGTTTCATGGCTCCTTCGCCTCCCTCTCCGATTTTCTTTCACTGAACTTGGGAAATATCCTCTTCTCTCTCCTCTCTCCTCTATCGTCTCCTCTCCTATCCTCTCCTCTCCTCCCTCCTCCCTCCTTTACACTTCGATTCGTCCCACCATTCTCCCCGACCCGGACCAGGCAACCCCTCATCACCGCTATGACCAGGGCCCGGTCGCCCGGCAAGGATTGCGATTCAAATTCACTGAGAGTTCAATGTGAAGTCATGAGGGGGGATGAGGGGCGGTAATATGGGATGAGGGGGATGAGTTACCTGAAGAGGTGCAAGCGGCATGGCGCGAGGGGGCGCGGGGTCGCTGCCGCGGGTTGCCGGGATGGCGGGGCTGTCCGTGATGGCGATGGCAGCAGCCGTCTGGATGGCGATGAGAGGACGAGATATGGCGGGAGGAGCAGGGATGCGTCAGAGCCTCCTCGCCGAGTACCCAGGCATGATGGGTGCGCATCGCAGCGCCGAGGTCAGGGTCGAGGAGGACGAGGGTGCCGTTCTCCCGCCCTTCGCATCAGCTAGCAGGGGCGAACGAGGACAGAGAGCGTCCTGGTGAGCGACCCTCCTCCTCCTCCTGCGAACCTGTGCTCATCCTCCTGCAGGGCTGTGAAGGATGGACCTGCAAGCTCGTTGCGGGTCAGTGGGAGGGCTACCTTGAAGCATCTGAGATTGGCTGACGTCATCGCAGGCCGCACATCTCCAGCAGCTGAAGAGCATGGGCCTTGGCTCTCTACTCAGTCAGAGCGCAAACAAGCGATGGCTGCGGGAGAGGCAGCTGGAGGTCCTCAAGCAGAACCAAAAGAGGCTGTTCAACGACTTCTTCGGGAATGAGGCGAAGGAATCCGGCAGGCTCGTCAGCTCCTCAGCTCTTGCCAGTGCAGGTGATGTGGAGGAGGAGGTGGTGGAGGAGGAGGAGGAGGAGGAGGAGGGAGGGGAGAGAGATGTCAAAATCCTGAATGAGAGAGCAGGCGAGCTCGCTGCCAACGTCAAGGGAGGCGAATGGTTGAAACAGACCAAGGGCGCAAAACAAACCAAGTACCTGCGAACACTTCCTGTGTCCAAGGAGGGAGCGGTCGTGGCGAAGGACATAGAGAGACTGGCGGAGAAAGGAGGAGCGAGACTGATCAAGTCGCACTCTAGCAGAGCTCGCAGAAATGTCATGCCCCACCGTTCGGCAAGGCCCTCGGTCAGCGGGCTAGAAGCTTTTGATGAGATGGTATTCGGATCATCCTCCAAGGACAAGCGCTCAGCGACCACGAGCAAGCTTCCAGGAGTGAATGTCTGGGGTTTCGGAGCTCCGCAAGTACTTGGGAGGCGCAACCTCGTCAAAAAGACGAGGAGGCAGCAAGCTAGACACAACGACATCGGGCTCAGCATGGGAGTGTGGACAGGGAACGAGGGGACGAGCTATGCCTCCAAGGGGAGGCTGGAGGAGCTTGCTCTCCCGTCGGTTGTGAGGCGTGGAGGACTCTTCAACGCTGCTGACGAGATCCTTCCTGCCAACCACCTCGGGGCTGTCGATTACAGCAAGATGAGTTCGCTGCGAGCCAACTCCTTGTTTTCCGATCAGAGGCTGCAGAGAGTGGGAGACGACGTCAGAGTTCCTTGCTCCTCGACGGACTCGACCCTTTGCGCCCGTGCAAGGAGCGCTGGAAGGGTTGTGAAGAAGCAGCTGCTGCGATTCGAAGAGAACGATGACGTCATGGCTCCGGTTGCGCCGCAGAATTCTGAGGAAAGCGAGGGGGCTGCGGGGCACGAGGTATTGGATGTCTTGATTTCTCCTGTGAGCTGAGTTGGATGTGGAAGGAGCATGAGGCTGCTGAGGAGGAAGCTGCCAGCGAAGGGGAGCAGGTTGGAGCTTGAGGTTCTGAGTGTCGAGACTCATCCATGTGTGTTGCCAGAAGGAGGGAGAAGAATCGCAAGGAGAGGAGGAGAATGCTGAGGGGGAGGAGGACGAGGAGGAGAAGCAGCCACAAACCTTTGCGCAAGCTGCAGAGGCGCACTTGCACCAAGGCGAGAGGAGTTGGGATGGATCCCCTAGCCACTGGTGAATCAAGGCATGCAGGAGGAGCAGGACGCTGACCCCCTTCACATCAGGAACAGCGCGGAAGGAGAAGGCGATGGGAGTTGGCCGCTCAGCACGTCTCCTCACGACGATCGCAACCGAACCTTCGAGCAGGAGAACCTTCCTCTGTTCTCAGCTTCCCACGTCACCAATCACACGCTGCAGCAGATGGTACGTGCTCCTGTCCTGCCCCGCCTCCTCTTCTCACGAGCTTTCCGCAGCCTCTCTATGAACCTGTGAACTACCACCTCGAGAACGAGCCCGACTACTATCCGACTACTCACCTCGACCTGTCCGACTTCCCTCCCGCCCCAACGGGAGGAGAATGGAATGACAAGATCAAGATGGACCCCTCTTCTAGCGTGCATGACCAACATCCTCTTCCTGGTTGCGGCGAGCATGCATCACCGGTGGGTCTGACTGAGGTTGCAGGGGTCCTTGTGGACAGCTGGTTCGGCTCCACGATCAACAACGAGGTCGAAGCCTGCTGACTTGATTTCCGTCCAGCCTGACTCGCGACATGCACAGGTGGAGAAGTCACATCTCCCTGCCATCGAGTCGGATCAGCCCATGAACGAGGGGGTTGGAACTGGTGGGCGGCTCCTCCTCGCCCGTACCATCCCTCTCTCACTTAGTGTTCACAGGTTATCTTTTTGGAAGGGATGGCGGGAGGATCACCGACGACTCGATCGTAAGTCTATGCCTTTTGTACAGATGCTATCTCCTTGCTGCCCCGCGCCTTGCCTCCATCTTCTCCCTCTCAATCTTCCCTTCCCTCCCCTCTTCCTCTGCCCTCCTCTATTCTTTCACTTTCTCACCCTCCTCTCATCTTCGCCCCTAAGTTTCTCATCCTTTCCTTCCCTCCGTCTGCCGCCCCTCCTTCCTTCCCTTCTCGCTCCATCTCTTTACTTCCTTACGCAGGTTCCTGTCCACCAAGTGCAGCGAGCGACCTACCCGATGAACATTCGACCCAAAGACTCCCTGACACAATAACAGCTGTAAATTCCTCCAATACACTAGCAACATCGCACGACTTGTGCTATGATCCCAACGCAGACCCTGTACTGACCCTCCACGGCTCCAGCTGGTTGGTTCAGGGGACGATATGGATGAGGAACTCAGGGTAGGTTTGCGTCCGATCGTAGGTAACAAACTCCCTGTGAGCTGCACTTCGGCCGGGGGTGCCGATCACTGAGTCGTGCAGGGTAGTGCTGGAAGAGTTGGGGGGGCGGCGCAGGCTCGAATTCGCTTGCTGTGTGAAGTGAGGGTCCCCCAGGAGGACGCGAGTGAGGAACAGGAACCTCGAGTCATCACTCCGGCAGTAGCTCAGACTCTTAGTGCAGTTCTCGGCAAAGTAGATGCCTGTCCCAAAGTGGCCCGCTCTGTTGCTCACCCGCTCGTCGAAGCCCTGCTCTGTTATGATGGAGCAGTTCTGCTGGGGGGTCCCGTGAAAGAGCAAGACCTCGTTCGCAGCCTCTTGCGGGTGCAACATCAGTCGCATCCACTCCTTCATGCTCTGCACATTCACCCGACGGCCGCCGCTGCCAATCTCTGCCATACTGGCCCGCTTCATAGCGTACTCCTTCCACAGCCGAGGGTTCTCCACTCGTTGGATTTGGCGGATCTTGAAGTCGATGGGAGCAGTTCGATCAGCCCGCAGTCCTGTGATGGCAGGGTCGACAACTGACGTGTCTCGCAGCAGATCTGTGATCAACCTCCGCATCTCTTCCGTGACGTCCACTAGCTGGCTGTTGGTGGAGGCAGCAGAAGAACTCCAGTAGGACGGGTGCTTGTACAGGTTCATGATCTTTGCCACCCCCTGCTGCTCCTCGTTGATACGCTTCTTCTGATCCTCCAAGTCTTTCTCCTGGGCCAAGTGGTGGTCGAGCACGTCCTCCATCATCTGATGCTTGGCATGCAACGCGTGCTCGGAACGATCAAGGTACTTGGCCCTCTTCTCCACAGCCTTGCTCCTCTCCTCAACCTCGCACTGCATCAAGTTCAGTTGAGTCTCTCTGTCCTCTAGCTTCTGGTGCTCCGAAGAAACAAAATCGTAGAATGACCGCAAGGACTCCTCCTCCTGCTTAATGCGCTTCCGCTCTTCTTCCAGTAGCGCTTGCTCTTGCAGCAGCAGAGCACGCTGCTGCTCATCCTCTCTGGAGTGGACGACTTCCTGGCTGCAACTTTGCTGGCTCCAGATACGATGCCGTGCGAGGCTGCAAGCTGAGGGACGGCTGCTCGGCTGTTCGGCCAGGATGCTGTCCAAGAGCTCGGCTAGGAAACCTTCTGTAGGATAGAACATCAACTTCAGTACACAGCCGAACGAAAAGACGTCAACAGGGAAGTTTGGTCTTTGCATTGGTTCCTCTTTCAGTTCAGGTGCGACGAAGTCATCAAGTGTTGCGTCTTTCAAATCTGCTTCGACAAACGATGACAACCGGAGGTCATCCAGCTTCATGCTGCAGGAGAAGTTGGAGATGCGGGGGGTGCTGACTTCTGAAAACCCTGACATCAGAATGTTGTGAGGGTTGATAAGACAGTGGACGATCTTCATCGCGTGAAGGTGTACAATACCCAGCAAGATCTGGAACAGAACTCTCCATCTGTTCGACAGGGATGGCTTCAACTCCAACCAAGCGAACAAGTTCTGATTCGTTGGGTCCTGCAGCTCCAGCAATCCCAGACCGCGAGACATGCTGACGTCGTAGGATAGCATGCTCTCGACAAAGGGATGGTCCAGCATAGAGAAACAGTGAAGCTGCCGGATGAATTGCCTCCTCTGATTGGAGTGAAACAAGTGAAACCTGACGATGCTCCGCCCCTCCTTGGTCATGAGACTTTCTCCGCGATGCTCTCGGTCCCTCGGAAAGTGACGCTCAACCATTTGCGACAGGATCACTTGAAACTCTGAGAAGTCATGCCAGACCTTGTTCAGTAGCTCGTCCTCAATGACTTCGGACTTCCTACAGAGGTCATGAAACAACTCCATAGCCTTGCTACCTTCCCTGTCTGCCGTCTCATTGCGGATTCTGTCACCACAAGAGGTCTCGGATGTCAACTTGGAAGTCTCATAGGTACGACGAAGTCGCATGCATCTTGTCTCTATGTCCTTGAGCTCGTCAAGAAGTCTCTCTGGGTGCTGGATGCCTTCCATGCTCTGCAGAGCTCGATCGAAGTGACGCGCCTTGCTGCACTTGAGGTTCACAATCTGCTCCTCCTGTCCCAGAACCTTGTGCAAGAGGTTGACCACATGCGCCATGTCTTCCCACGCGAGCATGCCAGGAAGCTCCTCGTAGGATGACAACTTGGAGAGCACGTTGCATTCCTGATCTTCCCGTTCTCTCACATACCGCAAACGACAAGAACTCAACCGACAGTGGGCAAGCTTGATTCCGTCTGGGGAGTACAGGGCGGAAGAGGTGACCTGCATGTGTTCTTCCAGGACGGTCTTCAAGCCTTGAAGGGGGCAAACATCCTTAGAACGATCTCTGGTGCTGTTGGATTCAGCTTCGAAAGCACGCATGCGCTGGAAAGCTTTCAAGTACTTGCTCAGGTTCAAATTCATCTCAGAAATCCTAGCGAGCACTGTCTCCATCCCGCAATCGAGTCCTTTCCCGCATTGCATGAGCAACTTCAAGGACTGCCCTAAGGTCGATCGACTAGCGTCCCTCGTCTTGATCTCTTCGCTCAGAGACTTCAAGTAATCCTTGTCATACTCAAACCTTATCGACGGAGGCCGGCAAGTCACCGTGACTGCCTTTTCCACAAGCGCCTCCTCACTCTCCAAGAACTTCTGGTACTTGATCTCTGCGTCTGCAAGAGCCAGGAAGAAATCGGAGTACGTTGGGCTCTTGATCAGAATGAGGAGTGACGTGGCCTCCTCGATCAGACAGGCTCCTACCACATAGGCCCACACGTAGGCATGCGGGTAGTTCCTGGGATCTGACCGGCAGCTCTCAGTCAAACCCACCTTCGTGCACTGCTCGCGGATGTCCTGCACTTGTAAAGCGATCCCTGACAACTTCCGCTGGTATCAAGAGACCATGCATGCCAAGTGAGCAAAACCAACGAGGACAACAATGATCTACCGGTACTTGCGATGATAGCCCGAAAAACCAAAGGAGAGAAAAAATGGCCAAGGCCTGAGAAGACCTTAGTTTCAAACGATGCTGAAGATTGAATAGATTGATCTTCACCACAAGAACGAAGATTTCCAACGACATTTTGTCCTGCTCAAACCTTCGAATCAGCCCATGTCTCCAACAAAGCAATCCAACAAACAAGGTCGATCAGACGTCAGAAGACTCCAGGCATCTTGATCTGACCAGGTGGACAAGATCAGAGTATCTCGATCTTTCCTTGTCTTGTGGGGCTTCTTTCTCCTCTCCCTCCTCCCTCGCTGCCATCCCTCCTCCCTCGCTCAACTACCTTCCTCCACTTGCTGAGAAACCACAAACTGCAAATTCATCCCCCTCATGAGTCTGGCCCGGGCGCCGGGCCCGGGCCCGGCGGAACTTGATCTCAGTCTCACAGCGCCGTCGCCGCCGGGCCGCCCCTCGGATGATCCTCAGTATCAGGCTGCGCGCAGTGCCTTCCGAAGTTCGAATCCACGACCGGGCACTGAGGCTGGCAGCCTGGAAGGCTCGGGCAGGGCATCTGTCTGCCGGGGCCGGGAGCCCGGGACCGTGCGGCCCGGCGCTCAGCCTCGGAACGCCGGCGGGCCCGGGGCGGGCTCTGAGAGCAACTCATCACCCTCATACACGATGAGCCTGCTGTCACCCAGCCAGCCAGCCAGTCGCCCAGGTTGTGGGATGAGGGGGGATGTGGTTCTTTCTATTGTCGTAACAAATTTGAGTGAAGTCCTCATGGTATAAGAAACGCATCACAAATAGGCAGACGGTAGGGTGGGTCATTACCTTTCGCAGCGAGGGCATTTTCTAGCACATTTTTGATATATTTTCGAATATTTGTTTGTAAAGTTTGAATTTTCAAAATAACAAATCGTTTGCAAAATCTATTTTTATCGAAATGAAGAAAACAATTGAGCAAGAATACTTATAGTTCGCGTTGACCATTCTGTATTATATTTTAAAACAACACACTGAAGCCACCAGCTCTGGGTATGGACTATCATCATTTTCTGACTGGGAGACTATGATAAAGAAGGAGGAGGTATAGTGGGTTTGATAGGGAAAAACGAAGGTGGTAGGGATCCATTGTAGTCACTTTTTGGTAGAATTATAAAAACTTATTTGTAAAAAAGATATACAAACAAAATTACCTGTCATTCGAATAGTCTATTGCTTCAAACAAAATAGTTTTTGATATTTGTATAAGAAAAATAGTTTTCCGATTGAATTAGTATGAACATCAGATAAATCACAGCATGCCTCGTAGTGAATTAAAACTATTTTTATTGGTAAACGGAATCCCCACCCCAGTGTTTGTAGAGAGGCACCTCCCTTTGGTTCACTCACCGCCATGCTCCGCGTGCTCCTCCTTGCGGCTGTCGCAGCCTCGGCCTCTGCCTTCGCTCCTTCCTCTCTCCTCCCAGCTACTCGTAAGTACCTCTCCTCTCCTCTCTCCTCCTCCCACCCTGTCTCGCACTCGATTCAGTCTATGCCTTGTTGTCATTTCGTGCCGCGAACCCTTGTTGTCGTTGTCACTGTGGATCATCATGTATCTTCTTCGATCGGCATGGATGCACGAAGATCGAGACGTAAAATATCTAATCAATGGGATTGAATGCAAGACTAGTGTCTTATCTCATGTTGCTTGTCACCATGTCCTCATTCTTGTCCTTCGATGTCCCGTAGTTCGCTTTACAAACTCTTGTCGAGTTTGGTCGTTGTTCACATCTTAAAGCCCGTATTCTATCATCCAAAGATATGCGATCTAACACGTTCTTGTACAGGCCGTGCGGGCAATGCTGGCATCAGCATGCAGCTCTTTGGTGATGGAAAGATCCAGGGCAAGGGTGTCACTGCCATCCCTTTCGCCGGACGCCCCAACACCCCAGCCTTCGATGGTGACAGCAGCAGAGGACCTGCAGCGAGATCGCTCAACGTGTGTGCAGGAACCTGGGCTGGAGACGTTGGCTTTGACCCGCTCACCATCTCCGGATGGCTCGACGTGAGCTTAAGAGGTTGAGACAACATCAGGGGCTGACGACGTCGGTGACAGATCAAGTGGTTGCGCGAGGCTGAGCTCAAGCACTGCCGTGTTGCTATGCTCGCCGTTGCTGGATGCATCGCGCAGGATCTCTTCCGCTTCCCTGGGGCCGAGACTGTGAGCTAGATAGCCAAGAAGAAGCGTAAATGACCGTGGGGCTACAGGTTTACAGCAGCGACCTCAAGCTGACCAAGCTCCACGACGCTGCCCTCAAGACCGGCACCATGGGCCAGATGCTGTTCTGGTTGGGATCCTTCGAGGCTATCAGCACTGCCGCCGTCATCCAGATGCTCCAGGTGTCTTGACAGTCAACCCCTTTCACAGCCTGGCTGACAGGCTCTTGCAGGGATCCGGACGCAAGCCCGGTGACTTCGGATTTGATCCTCTCGGCCTCGGAAAGGTGAGAGGAGGGGAAGAGATGGGGGAGGCGGGTGCTGACTTTGGTGGGTCAGGGAGGAGACAGGGCTCGCCTTGAGCTTGCTGAGATCAAGAACGGCCGCCTTGCCATGATCGCCTTCTCTGGAATTGTGAGTTGCAAGAATCTTTGGTCACAGCTGCTGACAGTGAGTTCAGATCCACCATTACTTCATCACCGGCAAGGGACCCATCGAGCTGATCACCGGCAAGTAAACGACCCTGATGCACTGACAACGTTACGCGGAATAAAACAACATAAAGTCAAGGCTCGGTTCTGGTTGTACAGGATGTTGGATTCAACATAGGAGGATAGCTAGATCAGAGAGGCGATGTAGAGCAGATGTCTAAGGGTAATCTACATTAGGGAACTGGGAGGGATATCTCAACTGCTAGGAGATAGTCTATTCTTCAACATGAATTCACGTAGAAGCTCTGTAAACAGCAGGAGGTTCCTTTCTATCCTCTCAGTTTGTCGTTCCTAAAACTCCTGACGCCTCTGCTTCTTGGTTGCATGGAGGAACTGCTTGTAACTTGTCTGTTCTGTCCCTTCCCCTCTTCATGCGAGGGTGAAGTTCTTAACCCGCTCAGTGTCATCGACGGTCGGGAAATCACCTGTATTAGATTACAACACGATCTAGTTCTTGCGGTGTTGGCGGGCGAGCAAACGTTCGTTTCCAAATCTCCTGAATCTCCTGTCCACCTTGTTACCAAGATTGTGAAGACATGCACATGAATCATTCAGACATCCCCCGGAACAACAACGTTCAGATGACAGAGCGTTCGGCCAATGCACGAATCGTCTCTATGCAACTGGTCGTTGAAACCTCTTCAGACTGACAAGATAAAACAAAGGGAAGCGAGACAGGAGACGTGGAAGGAGGTAAAAAGACATTTAATGGAACAGTGTTGATGGATTGACAGCAAACAGGGAAAATCACGGAGGAAGAAGTGTCTCAAATGACAACGTGCTGTACATCAAACACAAGGTAGGCGGGGAGGAGGGAGACAATGGAGAAAGGAGGCGGGGGGGGGGGAGGGGGGGGCAGAAAAATGTCAAATCAAGTTCGGCACAACAGGTATGTGGTAGGAGGGAGTGGAGGAGAGGCCATCAGAGACGAGGTCATGACAGTGAAGAGGAGGAGAAGAGCAACAAGGAAGTGAGAAGTGCAGGTAACAGGGGAAAGGTGAAGTCAAGGTGAAGTCAGAAGGAGGAGGAGAGTTGACGTCATGTGTAAGAACGACTCACTGCTGCTCTTGAGTCTTCACTCTCGTCAAAGAGCTTCTCATCCCCCTCCCACATGAGGTTGACCGTCTTGGCTGGAGTGCTCCTGTTGTCATGATCAGGGAGCACAACCTCCATCGGGCACTCCCAACTCGCGCACCTCGGCAGCCTCGTGTCCTCGGGCCGGTGCCGGTGCCTGCCGAGAGTCACTACAACGGTCGATCATCGCAGGAGCTGAGCGAGCTTCACTTGTGGATCAGATCAAGGTCGATGAGCGACTGCGCGACGTCCTCCGACAGCCTCGCTCTTCCTCCACTCGCCTCCTGCTGCTCGCCCTGCCGAGTTTCATGGAAGAGCCTCCTGGTCACGGTCAGCCATCATCCCCCAGGCTTCCTTCCTACCTGGTTGACAGCGACGGATGCGAGTCGTCGACCAGCCCGCTCTCCACTAGCCGCTGGTAGGAACTTAGGAAGAGCAGGGGAGGAGGAGCAGGAACGACGAGGAGGAGCAGGAGGAGAAAACATCGCTTACCTTGAGGTACAGGTCGTTGCGCTCGGAAAGTGTTTGCAGCGACACCAGCTTCTGACGCTAAATCAGCACACAAACAAGCTCTCATGACCAACTGCAAGCACGTCCACTTCACCTTCTTGATGGTCTCTTGTCCGACTGAGCCATCGTGCTGCTACAGAGAATTTGTCAGACACGAAAATCCTCACGACCACTCGATAGGAACCGTCTGCACTTCCGCCTTCTCTTCCTTTCCGCCTCGCACACTCGGCTGCTCTCTGTCTGTCACCATCCTGGTCACTTCTTTTGTCTTCGAGCGGCCATAAAATGCGTTCGCATGAGAAGCAGAGGAGGAGGTCGGCCCCTGAGTCCGCTGATCGTCAAGAAGGGACTTGTTACCTACAGACACGATATGAGCGACGAGGTCCTTCTTGACCACCTCCATCGCCAGTTTTCCCATCTTCCTCCTCCTCCTCCTCTGCTCACCCACGATCCTCTCGCTCATTGAGCCAGCATGTTGGGAGCTGTGGTCGACAGCATTGACGGCGGGTCTGGCGCTGGAGGGATGGGAAGGAGGACCGGAGGGGCCAGCTGCGAGCTTCTCGAGAGAGATCTTTGGTGTCCTCCGCATGCACTGCGAGGGGGTGAGAAACTTGAGCTTGACTCGATCTCTCAGGTGCGCAGGGACGGCCTGCAAGGTGACGGCCTCAGTCGCCAGGTCGCGCAGGAGACTCAATGTTTCTGCTTCCTTGCCATGGAGGACGCGGAGGACGAGAGTCTCGGACGGCATGAGAGGAAACCGGACGAGACGCAGCAAGTCGTCATGCGCTCTCGATGAGTACGCCGCGTCCCCTCTCCTGGGGTTGTTTCCCTCCCTCCTCTTCTGCGCCTGCATCCAGCTCAGCACGGACTCATACACGATCTCCTCCTTGGCTCGGAGCTTGTCGCTGGCCAGGATCTCCTTCAGCAGATTTTCAGGGAGAAAGAGAAAGCCCTCGCTGCGCGAGACAGCTTCAAAGTGGTCGAGGATGAAGATCTTGCAGTGCCCAAAGATCTCATGTTGCACCTGGCTCGCACTTGCCTTCTCCAGCATCTCCGCTGCGTTGCGGATGGTGACGTGCGAAAAGATGTCGAAACGATTTCCAAGAGAGTCCAAGTCCACCACCTCCGCCCTCACCTCCCTCACTCGCTTTCCCTGAGCCCCGTCCCCCTGCCCCTTGCTCCCAGCCGACGGATCTCCTTCAATCTCCTCGTCCCAACTTTCCTGCTCCCAGCTCTGAAGGTCTTGTCCTGCGCTGGTTGCAGGTTGGGGAGAGTAAAGATCGTCTGGAAACTGTAGGAAGTTCATGAACAAATCGTCTCGAGAGATCGCTCGATGGCTTGCAAGCGCTAGAATGTACTCTTCCAGACGCCTCTTGCGCTTCGTGATCAGCCCTTGAGAGGCCTTGTCAAGAAACGCTTTCCCAGGTAGTTTGCTCTCGGCCAGCAACAAGTCCAGCTTCTTGTTGCCAAACTTCGCCCTCAGCTTCGTGTCAAACGCGAGGAAGTCAGAGAAACGCTTCTGGACCTCCCAGCTGAACCCGGACTTCTGAAGCTTGAAGATGTAGATGATGTGCTCGGTAGGCATGCACAGGAGGCCCAGGTTGAGCGAACCTGAACAGTTCTGCGTCTCGTTCACCTGGACCTGCAGGGTGCAAGATTCTTTCTCGTTGGCCGCATCGTCATGCACAACAGCTCCCCTCACTAGCTTCACGACCCTCTGCACATTCTTCCGGGTCTGGCACAGCCCTGAGACATTCTCGCTCCCTTTCTGCCTCACATCAACACGCACTTCCACCGAAGAGCCTTCGACTCCGCACAGCATCTCGTGAATCTGTTTCTTGGTCTTCCCCTTCACCGACTGCGTGCCGACATGTGTGATCCGATCACCGATGTTGAGAGGACTGATAGTGAGAGTGAGTGGAGCAAACGAGAGTAGCAGGGAGAAGGGAGAAGCGAAGAGAAAGGAGAGGAGAGGAGAGGAGAGGAGAGGAGAGGAGAGGAGAGGAGAGGAGAGGAGAAAGATTGAAACCATACAAATCTCACCTATGCCATGCTGAAGTTCCTCCCTCAAGCTCCGCGATCGTGACGAATCCGGTTCGTTCCTCGACCGTTACGCGAATACCTGGGCTCTTGTTGCTTCTGCTCAGCAACAAGGATACACTCAGCGAACGGTGAGAGCGTTTCCTGCATGAGGCCAGCGCGACACACTTACATGCTCTCTGACGACTGTTGGAGGGGGTTCCTTGCTAGCCATGCTCCAAAAGAGCCCATCTCTCTGAGAAGCACTACTACCTTTCACTCCATCCTTAAGGTACGGGTCGAAAGATCACAAGCGCATCCACGATAGTGAACATGGACTTAAGTCGTAAGTACAATAATGATCATATCAAACGTGAGTCGAAGATTCCTGCAAATTCGCGTCAAGCGATGATGCCGATGGAATGCAGTATTTGTCCCAATTACGACTCTAACAACCCTGATTGCCTATCATACCTCCTTGCACTCGTAGGTTGGTTCATCGAGTCTACTTCAAGCTCTCGCTTGAGTTCTCCTCTTCTCACCGCCTCGTTTTCATCTTGTTGCAGCTTAACTCAGCCACTGCTAAGCAGCCCCTCCCCCTGTTCCCCGCTCGACTGTAAACATCCCCGGCATCTTGTTCTCCTGGTCTCCTTGTTACCGTTTGATCGGGTCATCTACAAGACAACATCCTGTCTTTCTGCATCCTTCCTCCTTCCTCCTCTCCCTCCTCTCTCTCCTCCCACCCTCCCACCCGCCCTTCATAAACTAGCTAGCCATCTCTCCCCAGCATAGAGCACAAATACCAAGTTGGACCACCCCTACAATTGAGGAAAATTTTACCTAGTACCCTATCCTAAGACACAAATATTGTATTAAAAGTACCGGTATTATTGTCACCCACCCTTCAATGTACAATTTGAGGCGGGTTTGTGCAGGAATGAGGACAGAAAATCGACACTGCTTGCAGTGTTTTGCTGTCCTCCTGATCTTTGTGGCTCCTGTGAGGAGAGGAGAGGAGAGGAAAGGAGAGGAGAGGAGAGGAGAGGAGAGGAGAGGAGAGGAGAGGAGAGGAGAGGAGAGGAGAGGAGAGGAGAGGAGAGGAGAGGTAAGAGAGAGGTAAGAGAGAGAGGAGAGGAGGACAAGACAGGAGAGGAGAGGAGGACAAGACAGGACAAGACAGGACAAGGGGAGGAGAGGACTATATGAGAGAAGAGGGGAGTTGAAAGAGGGCAGCAAGTGCTAGATCATCAGAAGCGAGGTAATCGGAATGCCTTGTCCACGAAGAAGCTTGGCTATCTTGTTTCTCTTCAGCTTCAAGCTTCAGGCTGCTCCTGAACCTCTCAATCCCCCTGCCTCCTCCTCATTTTCGTCGGGGTCAGGTGGTTCAGCTCAACTGTCGTTCGCTGAGGCCCTCTCAGACGGCATGGTACTGCAGTCTCGTCCTGCCTCCGCCTCTCTGTGGGGTGTCGTCTCCCTCCAGTCTCTCCCACTCCAAGTCTTCATGGACGGAGCGCTATCACCGCACGAGCTCCTTCATCAGACCGAGCGAGGAGGACACGTGGAGTGGAGACTCCGGCTCGCCCCGCAAGAGCCAGGAGGGCCGCACATTATTGAAGTGGTTGCTGGGGAGGAGAGGATCGCTCTAAGAGATGTGTTGTTCGGGGACGTGTTCCTCTGCAGCGGACAGAGCAATATGCAGATGTCAGTCGTGGACGCGATGCCGGAAGACATTCATGGATACTCGTGGGATTTCCCTAGGATTAGAATCCTTACAACAGATCCGTTTCCATTCTCGTCTAAAACCTCGTCTCAGCAGCACAAACTTCCCTTGCTGCATTCATGGAGGCTTGTGACTGCAGAGAATGTGTTCGGCCCTTCTTGTGGAGCTACAGGATGGAGAGACTGTTACTTTTCAAGCGTGTGCCTCTTCTTTGGTATGAGGTACCACAATGTCAGTGGACACCCTGTGGGACTGATAGCATCGGCAACGGCGGGCACACCGATAGAGTACTTCATGCCGAGACAAGAGTTGGAATCCTGCAACAAGAGTGAAATCCAAGGGCACCATCCGATGAATGTCTTCCATCCGCACGGTTTTGGACCGATACAGGGTGACGGCGTTCTGTTTGCTAACGTGATTTCTGCTTTGTCCCCTATGTCGGTGAGAGCATTCCTTTGGTATCAAGGAGAAAGCAACGCCAACGATCCCGAAGGCTATCGCTGTCTCTTCCCGGGTCTGATTCGAGGCTGGAGGAGGGTTTTCTCCGACGACGGAGCGAGCATTCCATTCCTGAGTGTTGGATTGGCTGCAGATGTAAACTTTGCTGGGCTGCTGCCTGAAATTCGTCAGGCGCAGACTTTTGCTACAAAGATGGAGAATGTCTTCGTGGTCCCAGCATATGATCTGGGAGACGTGGAATCTCCTTTAGGTCCAATCCATCCAAGGAGAAAGAAGGAAGTCGGCTTGAGGCTGGCACGAGTTGCCATCGGTGTCTTTCATGGGAGCCTTGATTCTGCTGTTGCTCCGGAGGTGACCTCTATCACAGTCTCAGTGTGGAACAGCTCTGCGATGAGGAGCTTGAAGGTGGGCACGATATCGAGATATTATTCTCGATGGGTTCTGGAAGAACAAACGCCAGATTCTGTGATCTGGCTGGTAAACGTAAGCACAAGAGCACATGATGGAAGGATGGTCTCTCTTGATGCCGCTTCCTGCTGGGACTGTTGTCGAGAAAGTGGAGTGTTTCATCTCTTTGGGAAGTATGCAGGCGATGCTGATTCCGCTCCCGATGCCTCTCAGTCTGAGTCTGTCTTCACGACTCTTGCTGAAGGACAGGGCTGGTACGCTGCTGCAAGTTCGCTGCCTTCTGATTGGGAGACCTACGAGATAAGATACGGATGGGAGGACTACCCTCAGTGTATCATCTACAGGGAAGCAGACAGACTTCCTCTCAACCCGTTTCGGTTTCGAATCTCCGCGACGGCCAACAAGCAGGACCAAGAGCCTGAAGCTCTTGCTGACTTTGTCTCGAAGCCTCTCCATGTCGTGTCATGGTCGAGTACCTTGAGTCGAGGTCAATCTCTCGAGAAAATTTCAGTGTGAAGGTGGGACGACGATGAGATCAGCTCTCTGAGTAAAGATTGATACACGATGATGAAATCAGCTCTCTGAGTAAAGATTGAATTATCATACTTCGTGACATCCTGTATTTTATAGGTCCCACACTCATTTTTTTCAGAACGTATCTCCCGAAAAGTCCGAGTATCGAACGACTTCTTGACGGAGCCCTGGTCCCTGCCAGATGGTTCAGCACAACTAGAATCTCACAGAGTTACCTATACCCGTGAAAACATTTGTGGACTTTGCTGGTAATTTGGAACTTGCGAAACCAGAGCCGTAGTTTGAGGATTTCTTCCATTGTACGACGCAAACTGAGAGGTCATAGGTTGCGGATTCCTGAAGACGCTCTGTAGCGGAACATTTGAGGATATCGGCAACGAGATTGAACCCGTCGCAGGTATCCCTCCAGCGTTCATCGTTGATGTAACCTTGGATGAGAAGTTTTGCAAGGTCCCTCCGAACGGATCCTGGTGAGAGCATGAGAGGCTAGGAGCACTCTTTCTAGGAAAGGTACCATCGGGTCATCGGAGAAGATTGGCTGACCGTTTAGAAACGCAGTTGGGGTCTGCAAGCCTTTAGCGAGGCAAAAAGTGTTTTGATGCGTGCCAACCTTTCCAGTCACAGCGCTTCCTCTGGCGCTTGCAGCGATAGTCGCGGAGTCTGTCTTGGGTTGCATGAGCGTTCCGTAGTTACCAGACTGCATGCTTGTTAGAAACGAACGTTGCAATCAGATTAACATCAGACCATCATCGGGAAGGAGTCGACAAAAGGGCCGTGAGTTAGCTCCTCCTCTGCTGCCTCATCCAAGAGTTCTTGATTGATGTCTTTTATCGCATGTCAGCAACACACGCAGTCCCACAGTCTCGATGGAATACCTTTGATCGCCTGGGATGTCTCCTGGTTCAGTTTCTCCTCCTTTCTTTTCATGATAGATCTGATCTTTCCAGCATAGAGATCTGAGCATAGTCATGATCGATACACACCGACATCAAGGTTGATCCATTCAGTTATGCATTCTGCGGCTTACCAGGCATGATCTGGCCTTGAGGCAACTGTCGGTCTGCATTGTCCGGCTTGACAGTCATCTGAATCAATCGTAAGTCGTTGCTGTATTGTACTGTACCACAAGAATGCAAGCGTGCACACCATCTTGACGTCTGCCTGAACCTAACAATTCATGTTCTAATCTAAGCAACATGTCACCGAGAAGGAGACTACTCATTGTCCTTTTCTCATCCCTGCCTTGCCTTGAGCTTCGTTCAGACTGAAATGTTTGTAAATCGGAGATTCTCTCAAATTGAAAAAGCAGCTGCCTCGATGCCCTTGCAAGAATCTTTTCACCTACTCCCTGTCGCAATCTCCTCTTTCATTCACATTCCACATCCTCTCCTCTCTCTTTCCCTCCTCACTCCCCTCCCTTATCTCCTCTCTCCTCTCCCCCCCTCTTGCAATTTCTCGCCATCTCGCCATTGAGCCGCGGCATCCTGTAGGTCCGTTGATTCCGATCGATCATAACGGGGTGGTGTAGTGGATGTGGAATGTAGGGGTGGGAAGAGGGATATTAGGGGGTCCCAACCGAGAGGGGGTTCTATTTGAAGGACCGTCCAAGTTCCGTGGTTGCAAGGCCTGGATGAGGGGGTAGGGTACCGGGTAGGGGAGTTGGTTGGGTTCGGGCCAACATGGTCAGAAGGGATCAAGAGACAAGCGAACGATGGCAGAGGAGAAGGAGGAAGGGAGAGGAGAGAGGCAGGTAGGGGGTAGGCAGGTAGGCATGCACGTACGCAGACGCTGAATAAGTTGAAAAGAAGATGAACAAAGATGTGGCATTGAGTGGGTTGAGAAGAAGATGAACAAAAATGTGGCATTGAGTGGATTGAGAGTGGTTTGGAACCTCAAAAAAGTGAACAAGGTTGAGGGCTTCTTCAGACATGAGAATGGCATGCTGACACAAAGAAATGGTTGAGACGAAATTGGGACGATGGACATGAAAACGATTCCTAGTCAAATCTGTGATGTGTAGCATGCATAAGATGATAGAACCAGACACGATCTCAACTAAGTATCTGCTTGTGTCAGGTTGCACGAAGATAATGTCGAGGGCTCGTTGGCTGGAGTGGTCCGATCGTGTCCTGTGTGAAGACACGACAGTCACGGCCATCCGAGGAGGAGAGCGACTAGCTATGGGGCATGCGCAGATCCCAACAGCGCATGCATCTCTCCACGTGAGGCGGGACATGATTGCAAGTTGGCACATGAAAGTGACCAAGAAAGCTTCTAACCGAGGAGCAATATTCATCGGCATTGAGAGCTTCAACAAAGATCCCGGAGACAAGATGGTGATTGGCAATGATTGGTACCAGGAGAGCTGCCGGGACGTTGCGTTCTACTACTCCAGCGATGGGGACCTTTGTCAGGGGGATGTGGTTGTCAAGAAGACCGAAAGCTCGTATGGCAGCGGTGACGTCATAGGGATACAAATGTGCGACGGGATCCTGACATTCCTGAAAAACGGCGATCCGGTTGGAGAGCTGAAGGGACTGAAGGAGTTCAACCAGGTTGCTGTGCAACTTCGGAGACCAGGAGATAAAGTCAAGCTGATCAAAGAGTTGGTTGACAAAGCGGCAGAGAAAGATATTGAGAAGAGAAAAGCCATTGAAGAACGAAAGAAGGTAGAAAACCAAGCCAGGCTGCAGCGAGAAGAGGAGCTGATGAGGAAGAGAGAGCAAGAGCGATTGTTGAAGATACAGAAGGAGGAAGAGGAGAGGAGACAGCGAGAGTTGGAAGAACGGCAAAGAATTGAGCTTGAAGAAAGACAACGAAGGGATGCAGAACTCAACAAGCTGAGAGAAGCAGAAGAAGAAAGGCTGAAGAAAGAGAAACAGGTCTTCTTCTGTGCCACAAGGGTATTGTGCTCATGATATAATCACAGGAGGCAGAGCGACGAAGAATCGAAGATCTTCGAAGAGCTAAGTTAGCCAGGGAGGAAGCAGCCAGGAAACAAGCGGCGGAAGAACAAATAAGAAAGGTGGCGAGATCACGCGGAGGTTACTGTGAAGATGAGGATCCAGACGCTCCTTCAAACCAAGAAGTTCAAGGTTGACCGATGAGCCTGCTGTCATGCCCTCACCCATCTTGCAGACTTCCTCAACCACTGCCTCCCTCTCCGCCTCCTCGCAGCGAAGCAGATGGGCATGGCAGCGCTCCCTAGCTACAAGGAGACCCCCTTCATGAATATCCTGCTTACACCGCAGCAACATCACGCGATCAAGAAACATTTGACTGAGGTGAAGAAGAAGTCGTCACTAGAACGGAGCTCGATAGCATCGAGTTCTCGGATGTAAATGTAACCAGCAACATACAAGTATTAGTCTAATCCAACAGTCTTAATCGTCTTCCTTGAGAGGTTATGTCGACACTGAAAGTCTCTTCATGATCGCTTCATGCTCGATCTTGGTCCCGCGGATGCAGGTTTAGCCGACGACGGAGGATGGGGCGCGATCGACTTGGTCGTTGATCCCAGCCTACTGATGTTCTGCTCGCGTTTCTTCCCCTTGCTCCTTCCCTTTCGATTCGCTTTCTCAACGGTGGCCTGAGCATGATCTTTGAGTTTCTCTCTGTCGATAGGAAGCTCATCGTCATCGCCATCGTCTTCCATGTCATCATCTGACTCGTCCTCGTTGTCGGACAGCACAATCCTGATGTTGTTGGCAGCCGCCTCCAATCCTGTTTGTTTCTTCGCGTCCTCGCCATCTGTTGATATCTCGATCCCTCCTGCTTCTACTTCTGCCTCCACATCGACGAGCATGCCGAGCTTCCGCTCACAGATTTTCACAACATCCATGATCTCCTCATCATTCATCTCCGGCTTCTTCCCTTCGTCGATTCCCAATTTTACAACCTCGAGCCTCTCATAGAGGTGCTCGATTCCAGCCTGCAGGCAACAGTCACATCTTTGACTTCACCGTCGTCACAACATTCACCTTGGCATTGACGAGAAGCTTCGCCAACTTCTCGTATCGCTTCCTGTTCTTCTCACACTTCTTGCTCACTTCCAGCAACTTCGACTGATACTCATCCTTGATCCTACTGGATCCATACGATCCTGGCCCAGAGTAGCGCATCTCCTCCACTTTCTCCTTTGCCTGTCGCTTCTCTTCGTTCAGAGCTTGAATGCGGGCATGGGCCTCCTTCGTCAGCTCCGTTAGATTCATCGCTGTCTCGTCTTGTGTGAGGTATTTCTCGATCACTTCGTTGATGTCTTCGATCCCCGTTGCCTCCTTGATCCGACGAAACGCTTCCTCGTACGTTGTCACCTTGTCCTTCTGCATCTGCAGTTCATGTTCCGCACTGGCGGAGTAAAACCCTTGCGCAATGTAGTTCTTGATCAAGTTCTGCTCCCCGTCAACGTTCAGCTCTCCTGCAGCTTCCAGCTGCAGCTCACGTCGCTTGCGCTCTCGTTGTTCCATCCGTTGGTTCACCTCGATCTTTGCCTGAACCAGCTTCCTCCTCTCCGCCAGCTCCTTCTGTCTAATCTTCCTCTCCTCTGCAATCGTCTGCTCCAACCTTGCCAGCTCAGACTTTGCGACTTCCTTTGCTCTGTGAGCATCTGTCGACATCTGAATCAGCTCAGCCAAGTCTGCTTCCTTTGCTTTCAGGATGCTCATCGATTCCTGCAGCTGAACGTCAAAGTGTCGCTTCTCGTCCTTGAGCCTGTTGATGATGTGGTCGTATGTCTTGCGGAAGGCGGCGGCCTCGTTGCACTTCATGTTGGCCTTTTCAAGCTTGCTTTCAAGGATCTTGATCTGCTTTGCCAGAGGATTGTCCTGGCTTGCACGCTCGCTGTCCTTCTCCAGATCACGGAGCTCATCGTTGCGCTTCGTTAACTCTTGTTGTTTGACCTTGGAGATGTGTCGCAGCTCGTTGTACCTCTTCTTCAGCTCATTTACTTCCTGCGTGAGTCTCTCAACTGTACTGAGTGAAGACTTCTCCGATGCATTTCCTCTTTCCTTCTGCAAGAGCGCCAACGCCTCTTTGAAATGTCGGTTCTCCTCCTTGACAAGTTCAAGGGTCTCTTTGTTCTGCTTGATGGTCCACTGTGAAGCCTCATAGAATGCCTTCCTGTCGCCTTCAAGGAGATGAAACTTCCGCTGCAGATCTGCGAGCTCATCTTCCGTTGCGGCGACCACATTCACGGCTCGCCCCATCGGGAGCCAGGAGTTGCGTCAACAACGCACTGTTGTACAAGAAGTCCTTCCAAGATGCCCACCTGTCTGGAATGCAGTCAATAACATATCTTGGGCCATGGCACAAAAACGCATTCTTCTGCCTCCCTTCTTATTCTATTTCGATGCTCTAACTCCCCTATGCCGTCCACCCCCCTGCCTTTGTCCAGGCTCCTCCCTACCGCACCTCGCTTTCCTCTTGCTCCTCGTCGATCACTTTGTCTCTTGCATATTCTCCTTCTGAACCACAAAGATCGGAATCATTACTTCCTCTCTCCCCTCCTTCTCCTTCCCTTCCTCCCCTCGTCCGCTCTCTTCCTCTCTTCCTCCAATCGCTTCCTCCAGCATGCTCCGCCGGCGGTTATCGCATTTGGCCGTTGGACCTCATCCCCCTCGCCCTCCTACCCACCCAGGCACCCACCCACCACCCCCATTTCAACGGGGACCACCCACCCTAAGCAACATTTTAAAGATCAAAATGGCATGAAATGATCCATGGGTGGGGTTATACTAGGTAACCCTACCCCCAACAGGTGACCCTCTCTGCCGGTACGTTACAAACCGCGCACTCAAGTACCGGGTCCGCCGGGCCGAGTCTACGGCCCCGGCGTACGCCAGCAGTGACCCGACGGTGCGGTGACCGCCGCAGCCCGGGCCCGGAGTCTGATCGGACGCCGGAGCACAAGTTTGTTAGACTCGCCTGTACTAAAGTAATGCAGACATCATATCGACCTCAGGTGCAACAAATACAATTTTGTTCAGAAAATTGGTTGAGACGATCGGATCACGGTTATTGTTAACGATTTTTGTTTTATTTTTGTACAAAAAAAATATTTCCAACAAGAGCGCATCGTAAAAAATGAAAACATCAATGTAAGAAAAAAACTTTAAAACAACTTTTTTATATGTTTTAGACCAAAACATACAGGAAAGCTGACCTCTACCTGCGATGATCAGACCCAGGATCGGACAGTTTTTGCTCAAGTCCGAATTTAATAGATCCTAGTAGGCTGTATGCTAGGCTGTGAACTTCCGAAACCCAAGCATCCACAGAGCATGATGGCAGAGTCCCGGCGTCCGCTCCCGGAGGCTCACGGCAGTGAGGAGAGCCTGATCCCGGGCTGGGGGACATGAACGGTACGGTACCGGGTGCCCTGGCCGGGCCGCACTGGGAGCCATTCACCGTCACAAGCCTAACAGTGACTGGCAGTCCGATCACTGAGTCACGGGCCCGGGCCCGGCGTGGCGCTGGCAGTCAGTGAGCCCCGGGATCATTTTTCAACTGAGTTTTTCAGTTATGGCGAGTCACAGCCGGGGGTGGGCCTACTAGTCCCTGCAGTTCAGTTTGCGCGGGAAACTTTGTTGACAGCGATCAGGAGGCGGCAAGTTTGTGGGTCGGCAGCGCCATGCATCGATGGCAGCGCGTGAGGGAGGACGCCTACAAGGAGCTGGTCATGCAGCAGAGCAAGCACGTCACTCAGAGCTCCTGGACAAAAGTCCTGGATGAATTGCAGAGCTGGGTCGTGAGAGAAGGACAAGCCATTCTTGAATTGTATGATGCGGTCGTGAATCGTGTCGTGATTCCATTGGACTTCCTGCTTTTGGCGGACGAATTCCCTTATCTTTCTGAATATTTCCTCAAGGACTATGCGGGATTCCAGAAATCTCTCCTCGCTGCATGCAAAATTTTCATCACAGCTTGCACAGATGTTGGCAAGGTCGATGTCGAATGTTTGAGGTGTGATATTCGTCTGTTTTACCATTTTGCTGTTGCCACGGATTTTAGAATCACTTTTTTTGCAGGTTATGGGTCCGACCTTCTTGCATTCCTTGTCTCCCTTGGCTCGATATGAAGTCCAAACACTTGCAGAGAATCGAAGGAGTAATCATTGCAGTTGAAAGTAGCTCAAGGTGATGAGATCTTGAGAATGCTTAGACATGACTGATTTTCATGAGAAGCCAAATCTGGTCGCAAAGGGTCAAATGGTAATCAAAACTCTCGTCTATATCTGTTCAAAAAAGGAAACTCTGAAAAGATTGCAGTGAAACACGATACTGCTATGAAGGCCAGCAAACTTTTTCAATCCTGAATGCTGGAGAGGAGAGCTATCCCAGTGTCTGCAAATTTTGCAGTTCTTCTAATCTGACAGAAGACTGCAGAGAAAGAGTCATGTACCAGGATAGATCTTTCTGTCAAGAGTCGTAATTGTAAGTGACATGATTGCATCAGGTACAATTTCTGGCGATCCATATGGGCAAAAACCAAGTGATGATCGTGCGGGTACAAGACGACCTTGTGGAAAATTATAGGTTGTCCCACTCCATAGTCTTTTCTGCTGGGTAGTAACACGTCTTCAGTTTCCCTCTAGGCCTTCGCATCGTTTTTTGTGGACAAATCAAAGTTATCGAATCTGCAATTTCAAGTTTGATTGTGAAGGCTCCTGGGATTGGGCAAAGGAACATTTACTTCGATGCTTACAACTTTGGAATACCTATTGTGACATGCAACAGAGACTTGCTCCAAAGTGATCAAAGCATGGCAAGCGCAATTTCTTTCATCAGCGATGTTATCGATCGCATATTTCCAGATTTCAAACCTCTCTTCAAGTGCAAGCTGTGCATGTGTAAGCAGTGTCTCCTCAAGTACCATATGATTTTTATGTTGCAGTACTATGCGCGATTTCTGGATCAAATGAAGACATCCCGATAGACTCAAACGTCAAGCATGTGCGAAAAAGAACTCATTTGGTGACATTTGGTGGCAACCGACGATTCATTTTTGCAATCATGCAGAGAGTGCAAAAGCTTTGCGAAAGCGCCAGGATACCCTTTGCATGGCTCAGAGCTTTATCCGATGGAGGTTCATTGAAACCAAAAATGTTCAAAGAATCAGGAGAATCTGAAAGCTGGCGCATTGAAGGAAACGAGTTGACATCTGTGAATGGGGGCATCTGTTGCATACTTAATTTTGAGGCTTATCGGAAAACGTCCGATCTGAACTCAATATCTAGTATTTTAAGGGGTCAGAGGATCGATGTTGGCAAGGGAAAGGATACAATGAGCATTCCTGTATGCATTTCATTGGTTTGTATGCTCGAAGACGAATATCTTGAAAGTCAGAGCCATTCCAACATACTGGGCCAATTTGACCTGGCATGCAATCTGAAAGAAACGCCTGATCAAGCCTTCGATAGTCAGCTTGCAAGGTATATCTCTCTCGCTCTCCATTCCTCTCTGTGTTGGTATAGAGTTCAGATCTGACTGTATCAAGGTTTTGCATGAATCAACAACCTTGGTCCAATGAGGTTGATTCTGATGATGCCTGCCTGGTTGCGATTCTTGAACAGGCCAGAAGTCTCGATCCCGATTTCATTCCTGAATCTTTAGAATTACTACAAGCATTTTTGAACACTTGCAAGAACATGCATGGCAATCTTGCTGGATTGCCGTATTCTTATGAAATCCTGTCAAAATTGAGCCAATCCATTGCATCGTTGAGGCTTTCGAACAACGTCTGCGTTCCTGATGTCGTAATAGGTTTAACTTTGTGTGTGTAACTTTCTGCGGAACAGAAGTGAATCGATTTACAGCGATCGCCTTGAATGAAGAGAGCAGAGTTGCTAAAGGGCTGCCGTCGATTTTATCTTTTGAGGTTCTCCCAAATGGTCTATATCGCTTGTGCGAAGTGAAACTCATAGCTCACAGTTGGAATCGCAGATAAATGCAATGTTGATCTGTTGGACGAAGACAGGGCAGTGGCGCATGACAAATTACATTGGAGAATATTGAAACTATGTCAAGCCAACGGCTTTTTGTGAGGTAAGGCGAGTCTTGGAAAGATTTCAACAGCTGGAATTTCTATTCAATTAGGAAGGCATAAATTCTTTCATCAGCGAAGCTCCCAGTCATGTCCTCATGTAATCGCTCAATCGCATGAGCTATCTGCGAAAAATCATAGTTCTACACACCCTCGCCTGTTCAATCGTATCACCGATCGCGAAAAACGCAACCTACTATCACCTCCGGTGACTTCAAGAATATCTGCCTCACGTCCTGGGAAAGTTTCGAACAGGACTTCGTACTCGATGGTAGCACCACCTGAGTGAAGAACCATCGTTTCACATGCCAGAATTCTTTGATAAGATAGTATCCGCACCAGGGATCCTTGGCTTGCCGGGAGAAGGCTTCAACCCCTTGTCGCCGAACGCAAGGGAAGGAGGAACCTGAGCAAGCATGTCTTAGAGGTACGAACTTCCAAGAAATGCCCGGACCTTCAAGGCCCACCTGTCGCCGACCCTCATGTTCTGTACTGCAAGATCCAGACCCTTCCGGAGGGTCAGTCGAAGTCAGTGGGGACAAGATTCGTCTTACCTTCACGATGTTCTCTGAGCCAACGCGATAGTAGTAAGCATTCTGAGTCTTGAAGCAGTCATCGAATGTGTTTCCATTGAAAGAAGCCTGTTTTGAAGTGTTAAATTACTTCTTTCGAGGATTTCACTTGGAAAACCTTGAAGCGAATAGCGACCAGTTCTCCAATCTTAGCCTTATCTCCGCTTCCTGTAACCCATTACTTGCTTGCAAGAAGACACGATTTCGTACCTGATTGCAAAACAGCATACTCGACGCCTTCTCCATTCTCCAACGGCTTGAAGTCGACGGCCGACGCGGCTTGGGGAAGGAAGGTCTGTAACTCAGGTCAGCACAGCTCGGATATTCACGAAAGAGCATACCAACAAGCTTCCAGCAGCCATAGCGCCCAGGATCTTCAAAATTCCAAGTCAGATTGAAGGAACTCAAAGGGCAAGTATGCTGAGACCATCCTCCGTGTCCTTCATCACCACCATCTTCTCACCTCTCTTCTGCTCTTCTGTTCACCTTCCGAGATCATCACAGGAGCAGACCGAAGACGCAGAGCCCTGCAAGACGCCTGGGCAGAAACTTGCGGTGCTGATGCACGAGGAAGAAGTGATGGGGAGGTGAAGGCAGAGGCGAAGGCTGGCAGGGATACTGCCATGACGAATACAGAAAGCCGCATGTTGGCCGCCGCAGGTAGTCCTTAGATCCGTCGTCCGTTACAGGTTTACGTATGAAAGTAGAAATGTAACGTCGGCCGGGTCACTGATCGGACCGTCGGCGCCCGGAGTCCCGGCTCCGACCGGCCGCCGGGGCGCTGACTCAGTGAGGCCCATCCAAGCGGCTCGGACAGGCTCAGCCGCTGAGTGCCACCGGGCCCGGCCCGGCGCGATGCCACCGGGGCCGCCGCCCGCGGCACCGGGGGCCCCATGTAGCCGTCAACGGCCGTGGCCGGCCGTGGCCAGAAGGCCCCGGTCCGGCGCCGGGCGCCCGGCGCCCGGAGCCGGGAGCCTGTCCGCCAGCAGGAGTCCGCGGCCACTGGCCGGGACTCCCGTCCGCCAGGCTGCCCCGTGCCCGTCCGCTGCCCGGCGGGATCAGAGTGGGGATGAGGTCCCAGGCGTGTTACGTTTGCAATTTGAAAGCGGGTCGTCAGAAAAGCGAGAGGAATGGAGGAGACTAAGCACATGGAGGGAAGGAGAGATGCGGAGAGCGAGGAGCCAGGGAATGTTGTGAGAAGAAGAAGACAAAGCAGCATGGAACATGAGGCGATGAGAAGAGGGCGACAAGAAACTCGTAGTTAGAGGAGGGAAACGTCTCCACCTGATGAGGTGGAGGCAGGATAGGGTTTAGGGTTTGGAACTGGAGGCGGAGAGAAAAGGCAAAAGAATGGGAAGGAGAGATTCACTTGAAGATGCATACGTCTGCAGCTATAAAGACATCTGATCAGGGGGATTGGTCACTGCATGTTGAGGTTCGATGCAGACACACAGAACGTGAAGTCCGTCGCAAACTGTTGTCACTGATCTTGTGTTTTCAGCTTCCAGGAGCGGACAGCGCCATGAGCTCGGAGGAGGGAATCAAGGTCTTCGTAAGGATTCGACCATCGAACGAGAAGGAGAGGCAGATCAATCGGTTCTGTGTGGATGTCAACCCCCAGAGGAAGTCCGTCCTGCTATCCTCGAGATCAGACAATAAGAGACAAGAGTTCGTCTACGATCAAGTGGCAGGTGCATCTCCCCTGCTTCCATCGACTTCCCTCTTTCATCTTTCCTTCTACCTCCTTCGACTTCCATGCTGCTCAGTACGGATGACGCTGTCTGTACAGGCCCTGATGGAACCCAGCAAGACATCTTTGAGGCTGTAGGCCAGCCGATGTGCGCGAGCGTCCTAGAAGGCTTCAATGGAACAATCTTCGCCTACGGACAGACGGGAGCAGGGAAGACCTTCACGATGCAGGGAGTTGACGACGGGAGCGTATCCGACGACAGCACCCAAGGGCTGATCCCGCGGGTCTTCTCCTTCCTCTTCTCGCGCATCGAGGAGCTCAAGGCCGAAGGGGTCGACATCTCCTGCAAGTGCTCCTACCTGGAGATCTACAACGAGGCCGTCACCGACCTCTTGAGCGACAGCGCCAGCAGCATCACCATCCGAGACGACCCGAAGCGAGGAGTGCTGATCGAAGGAGCCAGCACTATCCCCGTCAAGTCAGCTGCCGAGACGACCAACGCCCTGCTGCTGGGCTCGCAGAACCGCAAAGTCGCGGCGACGTGCATGAACAAGGAGAGCTCTCGGTCGCACTCGCTCTTCACGGTCTACGTGCAGGCACATCCTCTCCTCCTCCGTCTCGCCCTCACCCTGACCGGCTTGTTAGATCACCACTCATCATGACGGCGTGCACACGAGGAAGTACAGCCGTTTCAACCTCATCGACTTGGCGGGTGAGTGAAGATGCTCAAAAATCCCCCCCTCCTCCCCCCTTCCTCTCCCCAAAACTCGAGATCCGAGCCTCGTCTGCATCCACTGCTCCTTCCCTCTCGCCCCTCCTCCCTCTCGCCCCCAAACTTGTTCCTCCTCCCTTTCTTCTTCTCCCCCTCCCTCTCTTCCCCCACCTGGCTGCACGGTAATGGAGGGAGCAGGCTCGGAGCGGCAGAAGTACACGCAGGCGACGGGAGACCGTCTGAAGGAGGCGAACAACATCAATCGCTCCCTCTCAGCGCTCGGCAACGTCATCATGGCCTTAGCCAACGGCAACGGGCACGTGCCCTACAGGGACTCGAAGCTGACCTTCATGCTCAAGGACAGCATCGGGGGGAACAGCAAGACCTGCATCATCGCCTGCTGCAGTCCAGCTGAGGCCTGCTACGAGGAGACACTGTCGACGCTCAAGTTCGTCAGGTTCGCGAAGCTGGTCAAGAACGTGGCGGTTGTCAACCAGGAGAGCTCCGGAGACCTTCATGTGAGAGCCCTGGAGTCCCCCAGCTGCCCCCCAGCTGCTGACACTGTCGCCGCAGGCACTCAAGAGGGAGATCGCGCGCCTGAAGCAGGCGCTCCAGAGCTACGAGCAACAGTCTCAACTGGATACCAGCTCGGACTCTCCGCTGGCTGCTGTGCAGCCCCAGCCGTCGCTGCAGTTTGTGCCGCAGAGCTCTGCAGCTCGAGACCTTGTGATCCACAGATTCTTGGAGAAGGAGGCGGAGATGCGGGCAGGTAAAGGAGAGCAGGAGGAGGAAGAAGGAGAATGCGTTGGAGGGAGAGGAATTGCTGAGGGAGGACGAGGACGAGGAGGGAGGACGAGGAGGGAGGACGAGGACGAGGACGAGGACGAGACGTGGGGCCTGACGAAGTCACGGCAGCTCATTCCCGGGAGGTGAGCGCGCTAGAGGACAAGATCTCAGCTCTCCGCCAGCTATCGACGAGCCAGGACGAGAGTCTCATGGGGGCGAAGATGGCGAACCGGCTGAAGGAGGAGTACATTAAGCACCTGCACTCGAGCAAGGTCCGAGCTGGAGGGAGAAGGGGAGGAGGGGAGGGGCAGCGAGGGATGAGGAAGATGGAGGGAGGGGAGGGAAGAGAGGGTATCGGGGAGGGAGGAGTGGGCAGGAGGGA